TATGGGTGCCTGAGTGTGCACATCTGCAGCCTGTCCCAGGAGTAGAAGTTTCTAGAAGTTGAGGCAAATCTTTGATGAAAGGCTGAGCGTTTGGCTATAATAATTCCAAGAGAGTGGGCATGTTTAACTTCCTTTTCTTTTGAGCAATGCTTAGTAACTATCTACTTGGTGCCAGGCTTGGACCAAGCCAGCCCTGTCCATGGCTCACCGGCTTTCTCATGGCACCCCGTTTTCAGGTGAGGAGACAGAAGGTCTGAGAGGCGAAACCACAGCCACAGAGCTGAGCCCTCAGAGCCGTGACCCTCCACGGGAGGTCTTAACGCTGTGCCCTGTTCCATCCTGGCGCCTGGCCCAAGCAGGCATGAGTCACTGAGTCACAGCCTTGTCCCGACTCACTGAGTGGCCAGGATCTATCAGGAGAGCTCTGGGGGTCCAGAGTCTGAGTTCAGATCCTACCTACAGCACTTACTGAGCCAAGTCTTTCCACCTGCTGTGCCTCAGTTTCTTCAGTTGTAACATGGGGATAGGCAGTACCCAGTACCCACGGAGGGTTAGTTCCAGGACCCCCATGAAATGAACATCTAAGCGTGCGCAGGTCCCTGCCTACTAAACGGAAACAACATCTTCACAGGACCCAGGTACACCCTCCTGTCTAAGCTAGCAGCAGATGGTGGCTAGTCCTTAATGAAATGCAAATGCTATGCAAATAGGTGCTCACCCCTTGTCTAAGGAACAAAGGCAATTATACCTGCACTATTTTTGTTTGCTTTTGGTGGTGCTGGGGTTTGAACTCTCTAAGCATGTATTCTGCCACTTTTAGCCACACCCCTAGGCCTTTTTGCTTTAGTTACCATCATTATCATTGCCATTATTATTACTACTTTTTTTTTTTTTTTTGTCAGTCGTGGGGGCTTGAACTCTGGGCCTGGGCCCTGTCCCTCAGCTCTTCAGCTCAAGGCGAGTGCTCTACCACTTGAGCCACAGCACCACTTCTGTTTTTCTAGTGGTTTATTTGAGATAAGTTTCACTGATTTTTCCTGCCCAGGCGGGCTTTGAACCATGATCCTCAGATCTCAACCTCCTGAGTAGCTAGGAATACAGGCGTGAGCCACCGGCACCCAGCTTTCCCTACTATTATTATAATACTATTATTGCAGGCAGTTTACTGCTGAGCCATGACCTGTCTGACTGATTGGTTTTTGTGCTGGTCTGGGTCTTGAACTCAAGGTCTGGGTGTATTCCTTAGCTTTTCCCCCTCAAAGCTGTCACTGTATCACTTAAGCCACACTTCTGTGTTCTGATTTTGTTCATTAATTGGAAATATGTGTGTCTCTGTCTTTTCTCCCTGGGCTGGCTTTGATACATGATCCTATGATCTTAGCCTCTTGAGTAGCTAGGATTACAGGTGGGAGCCACCAGCTCCTGGCTCCTTTATATATTTTTAAGATAGGGTCTTCACTCACTTTTTGCCCAGGCTAGCCTCAAAAATGCCATTTTTGTCTCGTGCGTAGTTGGGATTACAGGTGTGTACCACCAACGCCCAGCCAGATGCAATGTTTTGAGTACTCTCCATGTGGTTTGTTGAATCTGTGGATAGGGAGTGCTCACTGTTCAGTAACTGGTTGGACTAAGGTTGGGAGCCCTGTGGATCTGGAGTGCTGGGTGCAGTATCCGACACTGCCTGATAAAGATCAGCTACTCTTGTTAGGGTTGGCATCCTCTCACACCTCCCTGAATCTGTTAGCACCTATTAGGAAGGGGAAGCTCAGCTCTGTGTGAATGACACATCTGATTGAGGTTAGGCCACTTCTGGGCTCTGCCCCAGAGCTCGGGGTGGCCACCTCAGTGCTGGGAGCCAGGGACGCCCGGGCTGGGAAGGGCTGCCTATCTATGTAGCGATTCTGCCACTCCTGGTATTTTCATCCTGACATTATTAACATGCATGAGTCAGGGCTGACTGAGGTCTCCCAGGGCAGGCACTGGACACAGGGGTCCCGACCCCCTTCCAGGGTGGGGTGAACAAGCTGGCTCTGCTTGCAATGTGGAAGCCACCAGAGACTGCACCGAGGCTCAAAACTCACCCGGAAAGACAGAGATGCTTGTGAACAGAATCTGACATTTTGAAAGCAGCCGGGAAGCCCTGCGTCCCCGGAGTGATGCAATGCCAGCTCCCATCCAGGCAAGAGTGGGGAGGGCGTTTCTCAGGGAGAAAAGCATTGTGGGAGAAGTGGATGTCCTCATCTGAGGAGAGAGGCTGTTCAGAAGGCCAGGGAGGTGGAGAGAGACCAGACCGGAGAGGGCCCAGGGGAAACAGTGCCCCGCCCTGGGCCCTGTCCTGCATCACTAAGTGTGGGATGGTGCTCAATTAGATGTCCTTCCCCCAGCAGGGCAGAGACCTGCCTACCCCTTCTCCCTTGTGAAAGCAAATGATGCGTCTCAGAAGGGAGGCTGTAGAGGGCCTGATTCAAATCCTGACAGAAATTGATGTATTACGATGATCACAGAAAGGGCCGTTGGAATTTTGCCTTAGGTGGTATTGGCACAAAAGACAATTCCAGACATCAATGGTGATCCTTAGAGAAGAACTCAGGGTTCAGCCACCATCTTTCCTTCTGTTAGAGCATCGTCTTCCACTTCATGCGGGGCTAACTCCTACTTTATTTTCAAAACCCCAGGTCCAAAGTCACTTCTTAAGGTAAACCTTCCCTGATGTTTTCTCATAGCACATGGTGGTGTCCCTGTCCCTTTAAGGCCTATTGCTAAGTGTATTGACCATGAGGGTCTTCTACGCTGGGGCTAGATGTGTGGGGGGATCCAAGGGATTGAGAAATGGAGATCTGACTGATGAAGCAAGGGCTGACTCAACCCACTCACCATGACCGCCCAAAGGAATGTCAAAGACAAGGGTCACAAAGGGCAATCCTCCCATGTCCATCTTGGAAGGATCAGGGATTACGTGTATGTGCTACCATGCCTGGCCCTAAAGAATGAAATCCATCTAATCTTTCCTGAAGCACAGGAACCTTGTGATCTCTCACTACCTGCCATTTATAATAAATACATAGAGACAAAAAAAAAAAACATTTAACTTCCATCCTAACTTTAAAAGAAAGGCAACAGCATCAATGTAATACATGACAACGGACGTGGCGTGGGTCTGGGCACAGCTGGTGTCCAGTCAGAGGCTGCTTCTTTCTGTCTTCCTTCGTTTATGGCTACAGCCCTTCATTTTCAGTTAAGACCGAAACCGTGAAGGACTCTGAACTATTTTAGCTTACTAAACTATTCATGGACCTGAGTCTCCTGTTGCCCACAGTGTGGTATTGATTTTTTTTTTTTTTTTTTTTTGGTTTCCAGTGGGGAATGAACCAGGGCCTTGTACATGCTATGCACATGCTCTACCAGTAAGCTCCATTCCCAGCTCCAGCGTGGCCCTGACTTCTGAAGAAAATACACGAAGCTTTCATTTTGCTCTTCCAAACATTCCTAGGTGTCAAGCAGCAGGGTCAGGAGTCTGATCACTATGGGATTCCACATGTTTTTTCTTCCTGGCCAGGCACCAACAGCTAAGGGAAGCAATTCCCTCCACAGAGCAGGCATGTCTCACTGTGCCCTCTCTCCTAAGCTGTGTAGGTCTGAAGTCCTTAATTAGATGAGGGCTGAAAGGTGCCATCCAAGATGGGGGTACAGTGAAAAGGAAGCAGGCCATGCCTCCTCCTTCCTGAACTCCCTATTGGTCACTACCCAGAAGCAAGCCACACCTCCTCCCTTCTGAGCTTCTCCTTGGTCACTCTATCCCCACAAGAGGAAAGGAAGCAGGCTCCGCCTCTTCCTTCCTGAACTCCCTATTGGTCACTCTGTCCCATAGTGAAAAAAAAAATCCAGCCACACCCTCTCCTTCTTGAACTTCTCATTGGTCACTACCCCCACATGGGGGAAAGGAAGCAGGCCACGCCCCTCCTCCCGGAGCTTCCCATTGGTCACTCTGGCTCAGCTTAGCTGCTAGAAGGCAGAGGGTGGATGGGAAATGCATGAACCTCTCAGGATTGCTCTGGCCTAGCCTGTCCAGGCCAGGGGAAAAAAGGCATTGCTGATCTCCAGCCAAAGCCAGCCACTCCTGGAAGAGGAAACCGACTCAGCTGTCAACACACATTTCAGCGGATTGGCAAAGGCTAAAATATTTGGTAACAGATGGAGTTGGTGGGGCTGTGGGGAAACAGTCTCCTACTTAGATGGTAGGATTGGAACAACCCCATGTGCAGTACGATCGGGCAGTCTGTGCCCAAGTCACAAAGGTACACGATCTCTAACAATACTACCACCTGTAGGAATTTATTCTACTTATAAGCCCAAGCATGCACCAAATGAGTTTTCTGCACACTGTCCCACACACCATAGCATACAACAAAATGGTAGCAATGGCCCAATCACTGGATATGACATGGGAGCACACAATGGTATAGATGCACAATGGAATATTATGTAGCCGTGAAAAGAACCAAAATCCTCTCTATCCACTAAAGAGACTTATTTCCTAGATATGTTGATACATGAGCAAGAAAGGTATGAACTCTGCTCTCATTTGTATAAAAATAGGAAAATAATGCATGGGTAATTTGTCTGTGTATGCATATTGCTAAAAGTACATGCAAAAAAAAACTAAATATTGCCAGCTTTGGGGGAAAGAAAAGCAAGTTTTGTGCCTCTGATCCCTTTCAAATTTGGAACCACATTCAAACAGATCTGAAATTTGAAACATGGCAAGTGTCACAAGCAAATCCAAACAAAACAAACCGAGGAACAAAGCCAGTTCTCATCCTAGGATCAGCCCTCCTGGCCCATCTCCGAGCTCTGAGGCCATGGAGCCTGGCTTCTACCTCGGCTTGGCTGGAGATCCGCCTCTCTCCCTCCCTCCCCCCTCCCCACTTCCCACCTACCTGCAGGGCTCGCAGGCGAGAGAGCAGAGGTGCCAGGCCAGTGTCAGTGCCAGGCCAACTTACCTGCTCCTTCTCTGAATACGGGTTGTTGAGGACCACGGGCACGCTGCCCTTCCCCCACAGGTCATTGAAGACTCGGTCATTCTCCCCGCCAAGGGGCAGAGCTCGGTGTGCCTTGCTGTCCAGATCTCTGAAAGGTAAGGGGGGCCAGGTTAGAGGAGGGGGCCACACGGGATTTTGTGGTCCTGAATCTGTGCAGAATTTCTGCTTTTCCCTGGTGTGCCTTTAGGTGGAGCCAGTGAGCTCTGGGCACCTTCATAAAGAAGCCCAGGTGACATGGGGGAAAAGGGGTTCCATGATCACGTGCTGGGCTTTACTTTTTTTTTTCTCCCAGACAGCCCCCCCCACCCCCACCCCGCAACTTCACAGCCCTGGGAACCAGGGAGGCCTGTCTACAGAATGCCACTTAATGGTGGAAGAGGTAGGAGGTGGGCCGGGGGACACAGGCCATTCCAACCAAGGCTTGGGCTTGCTTTGGACACAAATCCAGGATAAACTGGTCTGTGAGTACAGGGAGAATAACATTCAGCATAACCACGTGATCCGTGACCATAGCCAGCACTTACTAAGCGCTTACTGCATGCCAGGCACTTGTGCTTTTTAGTTCATTTAAACTTTGTGACAATGATGGCTAATCACAGTTATAAATAATGTAAGTGCACCATTAGTGTCATCATTGTAACTACGGACATCACCATCATCATAACCACCACCACCAGCATCATCGCCATTGTCACCACCACTATCATTTCGAGAATCCCTATCATCACCAGAGACCATTATGAGCATCTTCATCACCATCATCATCATCATCATCATCATCACCATCATCATCACAATCACCATCACCAGGAGGAAACAGATCAAAGAGGTTCGTTCAGTCATGAGCTTACACATGGCTAAACTTGTTTTTGACTCTAAAGCCTTTTTAAAATTTTGTATTTTAAAAAATTAGTGTATAGGGGCTGGCAAGGTGGCTCAGTGGTAGAGCGCTTGCCTTGCAAGCCTGAGGCCCTGGGTTCGATTCCTCAGCACCACATAAAAAGAAAAAAGCCGGAAGTGGCGCTGTGGCTCAAGTGGTAGAGTGCTAGCCTTGAGCTGAAGAGCTGAGGGACAGCGCCTGGGCCCAGAGTTCAGGGCCCACGACCGGACCAAAAAAAAAAAATTAGTGTATAATCAAAACCACTTAACAGTGCCTTATCTGTAGATGAACTTTGTCTTTCCCTCACTTTCTCTTCTCTCTTCCACTCTTTCCCCCTCCCTTTTTCCCTCTCCTTGTCTTCATTCTTTCATCCCTTTTTTCTTTTTGCTGGTCCTGGGGCCTTGAACTCTGGGCGTGGGCACTGTCCCTGAGCTCCTTTTGCTCAAGGCTAGCGCTCTACCACTTGAGCCACAGCGCCACTTCCAGCTTTTTTTGTGATTTAATCAAAGACAAGAGTCTCATGGGCTTTCCTGCCTGGGCTGGCTTCAAACTGTGATCCTCAGATCTCAGCCTCCTGAGAAGCTAGGATGACAGGCATGAGCCACCAGCGCCTGTCTCTTCTCCCTCTCCTTCCTCTCCCCCCAATCCTCCTACCTCAGCCTCCTGAGATTATAGGTATGCACCACCATGCCTGGCTTTGGAGCCGGATTTCTCCCTCATTAAGCTATCTTGGCTCCATGCCTTTGACCTCTAACAGGCCTAGGACAAAGGCATCTCAGTGAGATGGTGCAGGCTGGCCGTTCTCTGGGATGGAGACAGGACCAGATGGTTCGCCAGCCTTGTGTCACCCCTGTCCCATCCAGGTCTACTTTCCTGTGACATCCGGTTCCTGACTTTAGGCACTGCACCTTGCCCTGTGGTCCAGCTTGGGTCTGATCGCAGGCATTGGGTCTGTCCCTTGTGTAGCCCTCTGTCCTACATCCCCAGCTTTGGGGGAGGCTCCTCTGTCTTTGAGTTTGATGCCTGGACAGTCACCTGAGATGAGACAGAAGCTGGGGTCCCAGCTTAGAGTGCATGGCCCTCCAGCTGCTCAGCTGGGACCAGCCAGACCCCTCCCTCGGGTATCACATCGTCCCAGGAATCCATGTCACGGCCACTTTCGCGCTTCTTCTTGGAGAGGTTTGCCTTTATCAGAGAGAACATTCTGTTTTGCCCTCTTCCAAATGGCACCAAAATATACCCAGAGTGCCTCTTGATTGCAGACATTTCCCCAGTCCACGGTTTACCTACGCGATGATTAACACAGGGGTTGTCTGGAGAGAAAGCTGTTTTCTCACAATGTCACTGAGCTCCACTGCAGCTCTGAAACTCCTGACCCCAACTTGTCTCATGATCGTGGGTGGGGATGGGCAGAGGAGGAGAAGGTCAATGTACGTGGGCATTGGTACCAAGCCCCAAGGACTTGCACAGAACTCATTTATTCTAATCTCAATAGACATCAACAGCTCAGTTAACAGATGAGAAAACTAAGCCAAGCTGAAATTATTCTGAATTCAGGGACTTGAGCTTGTGAGGCGAGAGCTCTGTTACTTGAGCCAGCCCTTCTGCTTTGGTTAATATCTTTGTGCTTTCTTCTCATGTCTAGATAAGACTTGGACCACGATCCTCCTACTCCTTTGCCTCTGAGTAGCCAGGATTATAGGCATACATCACGGCAGTTGGCTCAAGCTGGGATTTGAAACTAGCTCTGACTGGTACTTCACTCCCTGTTCTTTCTTTGTTGAAAAGTACAGACAAGCAAAACTAGTGAAGAGGTTCCTTCTAGGCCAGAGGCTCCAGAGCAAGAACTTCTCAGAAAGTTTGTTTACAAAAAAAAAAAAAAAAAATTACAGGGTGAGTTTCCCAGAGGTGATTTCTGGAACTTGTGTGAACTGGCAGGAAAGCGGGCTTCTTTTAGCGTCATTTTCTTTTAAGCCACAAACGCCTGTGTATAAATGATGCCATTGGAGTGTTTTAGCCAACACAAACTTATTTTAGGGTGGTGCCTGAGTAGCAGGAAAAGAATATTGTAAATAAGGGACCGCAGGAAGCATGGAGGTTGTGTTGCTTTGCTTTCATCTCCTCAGGAGCAAATCAGAAGGGGGCTTCATCAGACTCCAGACCCTCCGTCTGTCAGAGACAAGCAGGTCTGAGGGGAAAAGCTGGTCGCCTGGGATTTACCGGTGCCAGAATTTTAAGGAACAGCATAGCTTGCTTTGCGGCCTCACATGCTTTACGGCCTTGTGTGCTTTATGGCCTAGCGTACTTCGCAGCCAAGCAATGTTTTCTGGGCCTACAATGCTTTGAGGCCTAGCAGTGCTTTTAAGGCTTAGTAAAGCTTGGCGGCCAAGTACAGCTTTGCAGCATTCAGCAGTGGGCACACACGCAACGTGAGTCCCGCAGCACACGGCAGAACCAGGACGCCTCCTCTTGGTTGATGCCGTCTGGCAGAATCATCTGCCATGATGGAAATGGCTCAAGTCTGCGGCCACTAGGCACCTGGTGGCCACGAAGCCCTTGAGACAAGGGTGTTGTCCTGAGCGACTGAATTTGAAATTTCACTTTAATTTGCATGTAAGGAGTCATGCGTGCTTGTGGCTGCCCTGGGAAATGTAGATACACAGGGTGACATCTTGAGCCCTGTGGAAGCTGACACCCCTTGGTCCTAGAGCTGGTGAATTTGGAGATTCTTGGCTTCTCTTCTGACCCTCCACGTGCCTCTCTTCCTGAGGAACCCAGTGCCTACCTCCTACCCTTCCCTGGATGGACTTTTGTTTCCCCCTGTTGAGAACCAACTCCTACTCATCCATCAAAGCCCACTTAAGCCCCCATCTCTATCTCTGCTGGGAACTAAATAAGGTCGTGCATGGAAAATGCCTAGCACACAGTCGGCACTAACTAAACACAAGCTACGTCTACCTCCATTTACAACAAAGGAGACTGAAGCCCAGAGTGAGGAGTGAGCAGAGGAGGAAGCTTGAAAATGCGGCGTGTCTTTCTCAGGGGGCTCTTAGGAGAAAATCACTGGCTGGAGGAAAGGGCTCCCCTGGGGAGCTGTATACTCACGAGGAATCTTAAACTTGAGTATTGGATATTTTCGAGGAATAAAAGCTAACGAATTGACGGTATTCCTCTGGTTAATGCAATGTTGGCAATTATCTGATCATTTATTTAAAAAAAAATGACAAGGACCTCACCCAATGAGATGGATTGGGCTTCTGGAAACTTCTGAATGACCTAGTAATCAGCTGTCACTTTCCTCCACCGCTCCTCATGCTCCTGGATCCCACCCCGGCTCACCCCAGTGAGATAAGACCCCAAGCTGCACCACTACAGATGTCATAGGCCCTGCGTGTTATGAGATATTATGGGATGCTGAGCATCACTGCGGATGTCTTAGCTCCTGGGTATTATGGGATGCTAAGCGTCACTATGGACATTGTAGGCCCTGTGTACTGTGGGCTGCTAGCATCACTATGGATACCTGAGGTCCTGGGTATTGTGAGATGCTAAGCATCACTATGACATCTTAGGCCCTGCATATTATGGGATGCTAAGTATCTCTACAGATACCTTAGGCTCTGTGTACTGTGGGATGCCAAGCATACTACAGACATCTTAGGCCCTGCGTATTATGGGATGCTAAGCATCACTATAGACATCTTACATCCTGCGTATTATGGGATGCTAAGCATCACTACACACATCTTAGGTCTTATGTATTGTGGGATACTAACCATCACTATGGACACCTTATGCCCTGTGCATTCTGGGATACTAAGCATCGTTACAAACATCTTAGGCCCTGTGTATTTGGGGATGCTAAGCATCACTATGACATCTTAGGCCCTGCATATTATGGGATGCTAAGCATCACTACAGATATCTTAGGCCCTGTGTATTGTAGGATGCTAAGCATACTACAGACATCTTACATCCTAAGCATTACTACAAACATCTTAGGCCCTGTATACTGTGGGATGCTAAGCATCACTACAAACATCTTAGGCCCTATTATGGGATGCTAAGCACTACCCAGGCCTTTCCACACTCATTGCTAGTGACAACCTCCCTTCTAACACTGACAACCAAAGTTGTCTGTGGACACCATGCAGTTGGACCCTTCCTTGGGATGTAGCACCATAACCTCATGCTTCCTATTCCTCCCT